GAGAAAAAATTGATAATTTTAGTGGCTCTGCTAAAAACAAAACATAAAAAATCCAAGCATAATCAAAACAAACAAACCCATAAAATATATCAAATTAATGAGAGAAAAAAAACATTCACTATAGCAAGAAATAAAAAATGATAAAACTAGTAGATCTAAAAAAAAATAGTAGAATTATATATATGTATTTATTAAATTCTTAACAAGCATAAAAAAAATTAAATTAGTAATTACCTTGTTGTTTCGATGAATTAATTGGTAGCAGCTTTATTTTACCTTTTATGCTTTGCATTGTTAATTTTTTCAGCTAGGTTTACAGAAAAGAAAGAGAGAGAGACAGTAAAGGAAAGGAATTAATTGAGCATATTAAAGTTAAACATAACTAATAAAATAATAATTTAGTATTAAAAAGCTTATTATTTATTATATTTTAAAAAAAAAGTTTTGCAGAGGCTCGGGCCTCTACTGGCCTTCTCTTGGTTCCACCACTGGATACTACTATAATTAAAAGTCACCTAACTCACTAGATATCATTGATTATTATTAGTTACCAACTCTCTAAATTTTTTATAACAATTCACTAGATGCCTTGAATATAGAAAATAAAACAGGTTATTTAAACGAAAAAATAAGTTAATTATACAACATATCAACTTTATTCCTCATCATTCTAGATTTTAAGACAAGCTAAAGAGTACTAAAAAAATGGAACAATGGCTAGACTTGTGACAACTTATAAAAATAATAGAAAGTTTTATTCAGACGTAAAAATCGACAGAAATGATAAATCTCATGGGATGTTCTGTAGTTTATCCCAAAAAAAAAAAATGTGCTATTACTTTTGTAATTCTTACATTTTTCATTCTTGCATTCGATCTCATGTCGCAAGTACCAAAATTATTATTTTCTCCTCATTCCCGGAATTCTTATAATATATAACCTTTTTTTATTGTATAAAGCAACATTTTTAGATGTTCTAATATATATATATATATAATCTTGAAGCTATGATCATATGAAAAGTATTTAGAAGATGGGTGGACATTCACGGACAATCAAAGTATTCAATGCATGGATGTCGATTAAAGTATTCAATTCATAGGTGTTTGTAAAAATAATAGATGTTATTTTTTAAAATATTTTTTTTATTTTGAAATTTATTAAAAAATTATTTTATTTTTAAAAATTTACTTTTAACATTAATATATCAAAATAATTTAAAAATATAATAAAATTAATTTTAAATAATAAAAAATTATAATTCAACCGCAGCTATGAGCTTCCTGTTAATTCACAGGGGACCA